ACAACATTTAAATTTATTACAAATATAAGCAGAACTTTAAAAAGATTATATGATCTTATCATGATGCACTTTACAACATCAAATGTAATTTGAAAAATCTAAATAAAGCAGTTAAATTAATCAACATAAATTATGTATAACTTTCTATATAAAATATACTTTTACCAAATAAAATATATGAAACCAAAAGAACTAAAAGTAAATAAAATATATTTTTTGTTGACAAGATAAAAAACTTTCGATTAAATGAAGTTAAAGCCCAATCTCAAGACAAATCAAAATAATACGATTGAACAAATACATATTTTATAAGTACAAACTGACATAAGTGTGACCTGGCATAAATGCGATATGGCATAAATCCTCTAGAAGAGTTTGCAACTATTCTGCCAATTTGCTCCTATGCCAGTTTGCAATTATTCTAGTAGTAAGTATGTGTATTAATAATAATAAAGGCCTATTTATGGATTCCAGGCAGTATTTGCATAGTTTATATAGTTATGAATAAATGAGCAGTTTAGTTGTTTTAAACTGTTTTTATTTAAATAATTTCTGGTATTATAAAGGATTCCAATATTTTTTGTAACTTTTGTTGATATATAAGTTTTCCATGTCACACTTTCGTCGAGATGAATACCTAGGAATTTTAAAACGGAATCTTTATTTATTTTTACTTCATCAATATAAACATTAGGTAAATCGTTAGGCAAAAAAGTTTCTTTTGTTGAGGAGCGGAAAAATATTTACTTTGATTTGTTAATATTTAAGGTTATTTTGTTGCATTTAAACCAAGTAAAAACTTGTATATTTCTTTATTCATATTTAGAAAAAGCTTACTAATGTCTTTGTTTGATGAAAATAAATTGGTATTGTCTGCAAACATGATGCTCATAAGGTTGGAGACTTTATTTAGATTGTTCATGTATACTAAAAAGAGAAGTGGACCAAGGTTAGAACCCTGTAGAACACCACATTTTATTTCAATTAATGTTTTAATTTGACGATCAATAGGAAGCAATTCTTCTTCTTGGTAGAAAAATTGCTTTTTATTTGACAAGTAATTTTTATACCATTTGATCAGTTTACCATTTGTTCTGTAGAACTCAATTTTTTTAAGTAAGATATCATGATTGACTGTATCAAAGGCCTTTAATAAATTGACAAAAACACCAAGTGTATAATCTGGTTTTGCAATAGAATTTGACTTTGTATGTAAACTGAATACTGGCTTGTTTATTTGAACTATTTTTTTAAAACGAAATTGATTTTTATATAGAAAGGTTGTAGTATGTCAAAGATGATTTTTAATTTTCTTGAAATCTTAGCAAAGCTGCGATAGTTATTGACGTTTAATGTTTCTCCGTCTCTATAAATTGGTATAACATTGGCAATTTGTAACAGATCAGGGAAAACCCCTTGATGTACAGATGTTTTGAAAATTTCAAATAGAATATCTTTCAAACTTTCATAGCAATCTATAAGTATGTTCTTGTTTATTCCATCCACACCAATAGCTTTGTTTCTTTTTAGAGATTTGAATGCTCTTTCAAACTCTTCAATTGATATATCTTGGAGTAAGTCATGGGGAGAAAGTAAATTATTTGAAGTTGTCAAAAAATCATTAAAAAAAATATTTTTAGAAGGAATCCTATCAGCTAGCCTACTTCCAATATCAGTAAAGCATTTATTAAACTCTTTTTCATTTGGTTTACACCTCGTTATATGTGTACTTATAACCAATTCTTCCATTAAGGTCATCTACAATGTTTTTGTTGTTTGTACATTACCTATGCAATATCTTGATATTGGACAACGTTGAGCTGAAGTAAGACGACTGTTTTGTGACATCTAAAATCTTGGTGAGGTTAAAATCATTTTGGAGCGTTTTTACGTCAAAAGAAACATTTGGTATTATAAGCATCTTCTTTATATATCTGACCTTTCAGGATAATTCTCTTTCTTTCTTAAATAACAAAATAGTAGCAGAAGACACACTCAGCTCTAAATAAAATGCGATCATTTTAAAGAATTAAGTTAAATATTAAAAAAATACAGTTTTTAAAAAATTTGAATTCCTTTAGTTAAAAAATTTGAATTCCTTTAACAGAAAAATCAAAAATCTATGTATCTTACTTTTAATCATAATGCAATTATTGGAAATCCTTGACCACTTTTACTGGCTTAAATGATCTCAACTTCCAATTTTTGTGTGTGTGTGTATAAGTTTAATTTGCACTGTTTGAATCCATAATTTATGTTATGTTAGACTTTGGAAAACTCGTAATTTTTTTACTCAGAAATAAAGTATATGTATTTGTAAGTTTTTAAAATCATGAGGATATTCAATGAATATATATAAAAATTTATTCAAATTATAATATTTGCTTTATAACTTGCATTAGTATTGTATATTCTTCTTTTTATTTCTAATAAAAATAGAATTACTAAGTTTTAAATCCTTATGATAAAATAAGTTTCAAGTATTTAAGTTACAGTAAACATTATTATTATATATTTAAGTTACAGTAAATATTATTATTGTATATTTAAGTTACAGTAAATTTTATTATGATATATTTGAGTTACAGTAAATATCATTATTATATATTTAAGTTACAGTAAATATTATTATTATATATTTAAGTTACAGTAAACATTATTATTATATATTTAAGTTACAGTAAATATTACTATTATATATTTAAGTTACAGTAAATATTATTATTATATATTTAAGTTACTGTTAACATTAATATTATATATTTATGTTACAGTAAATACTATTATTATATATTTAAGTTACAGTAAATATTATTATTATATATTTAAGTTACAGTAAATATTATTATTCTATGTTTAAGTTACAGTAAATATAACTATTAAATATTTAAGTAACAGTAAACATTATTATTATATATTTAAGTTACAGTAAATATTATTATTATATATTTAAGTTACAGTAAATATTATTATTATATATTTAAGTGACAGTAAACATTACTATTATATATTTAAGTGACAGTTAATATAGATAGACATTTTATTTATAAGTCTATGTTAAAACTCAAATTTAGAAAGACTAACTTTGACTGTTGTCAAAAGTTTCAAAGCGTATGTCAAAGTTACCTTGGGGAGTTTTTCGCTTTAACATTAGTTCCATTAGCTCATGTATTTGATGAATACAGAGAATTTTTTTACTACATTTATTCATATTTTTAACTTATTTTTATTCGTTTTCTTAATTAAATAACCCCAGTTATGCAAAGAATTTAACATTAAAATTATTTATTAAAATTTTTTTTTTAATAAAAATGTTTCATTTTTTGTCCAAATTGGTATAAAGTTACCGTACTTTACCCTATGTGTTAGTTTTTATAGAAATTTTTTTAATCAAAGATATAATAAATTGAAGGCTATAAAACTTAGAAGTTTCGATTAATACAAATTGAAGAGAAGAGCTCTTTATATTGAAATATCAGCATGTCAGCATAATTTGAAGGAAATGGAAAAGTAACTTTACTTAAAATAGTAACTTTTTTTATTTGTAATTTTTTTCTTGTAATTTTTTTTTTTTTTGTAATTAAATTATACTTAAAAATGTTTATTTGTTTTTAGATAATCAGTCATCATGCATAAAAAGTGGATGATTATTTGTTTTCACGATTTCGGGTTTGTTAGTCAAAACGGCAATGTGTCTACTTGTAAAAAAAACTGTTAAAGTAATGAGCAGCCCTAGCAAGCTATTAACGATTGTATAATATTTTCAGATTACAAAATAAAAAATAATAAAATTTTGTATTATAACTTTATTTCGAATAATTAAAGTACATTTACCTTCAGGGTTATTGTTATAGCATAACATTTACTTTTATATTTATATTTTTAATCTGTATGATAAAAATTTTTATTAAAAAGTTATTCATAAAAATATTTGTGTGCTCTTGGAAAAGTCCTCACAAAAATTATTGATTCTTTCTAAAATCTTATTAAAAACATGTCAATTATAAGTAAAGCAGACAAGTTAAAAAGATCATGTTGAATATTTAAATACTTGTTTCTCAAACGAATCTAGCATAAACAACTTTATTTGCATGAACACTTAATGGGTATTCATGAAGTATAACTCTTCTATATCTTATTTTTTAACATGAGTACTTTTTTACGTTACTAATATATACAAAAAAATGCCTAATAGCTTTAAGAACATTAACCTATTAATATCATGGATAAGTTATTATCATTGCTATAGCTTTAATATGAACTTTTTCAAAACCCTTTACATAAAAAACAACTGTTTGTTAATTATAACAGTTCAATTGTAAATAACATTAAATAAATAAAAAACATTAATAAATTTATACTTGTTGCGTTATTATGAAAAATTATTTTACAATAAATAGTTTTGAAGACCAAAAATACAAATCTATTAATTCTGAAAAAATGAAATAAAATGTTTAATAGTTAACGATTTTTTAGCTTGATTAATAAAGTTTTTTTTAATGAATTTTTATATATACCATTAGAACAACTTTGCTGCAACAAATATAACTTTTTACTATTAAATAATCCATCATTGCTACAACCTAACCGTAGCTATTTTTAGAATTAAAAAAAAAAAATACACACATAGCATGACAACTAATATATATATATATATTTTTTGGTCTTTTTTATAATACTTTTTTTCCATAAACTTGTTTAAAATTTACCATTTTGTTTGTCTTTTTTAAATCAATTGTTTTTATCATTATAATACAAAAAAAGTGGCGAAATCATTTGTGTTTTTTGCTGTCATAAATCTTTATTTGGTTCACGTTTTTGATTTCAATAATATTTTTTGCTTGCAATGTCATTATTTATACATAATTGTATAAAAAATTACTGTTTAGTAGAAAAACAGTAGAAAAACTACTTTTTTGAATCTTTATTATCAAATCAAACTTTCAAATATTTATTTATTATTTATATTATATTTATTTATTGTTTAAACAAATTAAATTTACTTTTTTAAATGATCAACAGATATATTTTGATGGGTGAATGGATCAATCAATTTTAACAAGAAGAAAGTTTTATTATAGTTTGGATTGTTCTTTATGAATTGGTTGGACTTGATGGGTCTCAAAAAACATTGTTTAACACAGTTTAAAACCATTTTGTATTCACTTTTGTTAACAACAGCTAACAGAATTTTGAGGTTATATGTTTTAACATTAGATCCATCAATAGAACTTAAAATTTTAACTAACTATCTGATTAAATTATACTCTGCTAGCTGGTTTGAGATAAAAATGTAACCAATTTGTTTGTATGGATCCAACCATTTCTTTGAAATGGTTAAAAAATCTTGTTACTTATATGATGAACTTATGAGTATTGTCGAACAGTGTTGCAAGGAAATGCCTACTTCTGTCATCCAGAAAATACTTTGTTGGCTATGCTAGTAGATGAAAGAATGCACATCAGAGAGTTAGCTTTAAGGTAAATTATACATAGAGAATCATATGATAATCATAGGACTATTCGACCATTTAAAGTACCAAAACTAAATTTGAATGCTGAAGATTACACAGTTATGATTGGTTGGCAAAATGTTAATGTTACTGAGCCTCTTTTAACAAGACACATCTCAATTGATAGTTTAAAAAAATGTTTTCCTCCATTTCTGATATAATTGGTATTGAAAAACTACTTTTCCACACTCAAGCAGTTAAACAATGATAAAACATTTATCAAATAATTCTACATCAGTTTGTAAAAATAAAGCAAGAAATAGAGTCATCCCAGCGAAGCTTATATCTCAGTGTGAACTACCAAGGTTCAAAATTAAAACAAATTTCATAAAAATTTCATTAAAATAAATATAAATTCTGTGTAATTGATTTTGAAAAGGAATGTTTTACTCAACTGTTTTTCTATTTTTATTTTCTTTCTACTGTTGCGTCCAGGGTTCAACTTTTACTTTTTCCTCGGTAATGAGTCTTTGCCATCACTATAGAATTTAGGACCTAGTTACCTAATTACTATATAAAAGTAAAGGAATTTAATTACTTTTTGGGAACCTCAGTTTTGTTTGGTTTATAAATAAAAAAAGTTCTAAATAAAACTTAGAACTTGTAAGTTTTTATGGGGTTGTAGATTCGCTGTTTGGAACTCTGTTAGGGATTGAACAAAATACTTTATTTTAATTTTTATTAGTAAAGTTATTTAAAAAATAATTACTAATTTAAAAGAGATTATAAACAGAAAATTTAAAATTTGACTAAAGTTTTATATTTTTTTGTCGTCATTGCAGAGTATTCTATTCTACTCATAATTTTTGTATTATTTCATCTGATTTTACCGACAACTTCTTAATAATGAATATAGTCAAACAGTAACTTATTTCATTTCATGTAATTCATTTAAAAAAAAATTACTTATTTAAAAAAGATTATAAACAGAAAATTTAAAATTTGACCAAAGTTTTATATTTTTTTGTCGTCATTGCAGAGTATTCTATTCTACTCATAATTTTTGTATTATTTCATCTGACTTTACTGACAACTTCTTAATAATCAATATAGTCAAACAGTAACTTATTTCATTTCATGTAAAAACTTTTCAAAAAATTTATGTCACAATATGCAAAGTTAGCAATTACAAAGTAAAGTCTTACAAAAATGCTAAAAGCAAGGACAAACAAGCATAATTTAGACGATGAATAGATCAATAGATAATCATGACCTTAACTGTGCTTAAGTTTTAGTAAACTCTCTGTTTTTGATTTAAATTTTTCATCAGTACAAATTTTTGTTTACAGTTGATATATTTGCAGTAAATAAAGTTGTATAATAAATATGCTGTTGATATGAGCACTAGGTAAGCGTTGAAGTCCTTAACAGTCGTGAAAGTAAAAACCATTTTTAACAAGTATTTCGCACATTTCTTGTCTTTTTTTAGTGAAAGTAATGTTTATTTCGTGTTTTGTTATACATTTTATGTTTGCAAGTCCCTTTTCTGAGAAATTAAATAGTACTATAGCAATACTAAACTTGGAAGAATATGAAAATCAAATAAATATTTTTCTAAAACTCATTCCGCTGGAGGAATCTGTAGAAGCCATAAAAACTAGAAAAAAAAACTTTACTTTCCTATTCTTAATAATATGCAGCTATTTGTACCTCAAGCAATTTGAATTTAAACTTTTTTTTTTTTTTTTTTTTTTTTTAAATCACTCAACTCTGGGGTACATACATTGACTGCCAAATAGATAGAACATGCAAGGAGTGTTAATACATTTTTTTTTTTTTTTCGCGGGGGGAGGGGGTGATTTTTTTTGGACGATTATTTCTCAAGAGAATTTTTTTCGGGGGGATTTTTCCTAAAACCTTTTTTTTCGAACGCAAAAAAATATTCTAACAATCAAAATATTTTGCATCATTCTTTTTTTTTGTAAAGTATTTGATTTTATATAGTTGTTGTTTTAAATACTATTTTTTTTAGTGCGAAGTGAATTGATATAAATGATTTATAATTTCTTTATAAGTGTTATATTTATTTTGTAGATCCAAAAAGCAAGAGTAGTTTACTAAGTTTAAAAAAACGTATTTACACTAACTAACTAAACTGACTTAATTAGAAATATAATATTTGCGATTTTGTTGATTTGACCCATATATTTAGGATTAAATAAATACAATATGACAGGAAAAACACTTTTTATTTTTGGTTTTACAAAATATGTTATTCTTTGTAACAATATTCAATACTTAATTTAAATTTTAAACCTGAAAGATCAAAATACGAAACTATAAACTAAATTACCTGTTGTAATTTCAACCCAATTACGATTGTTTATTCCGTTAACAAGCGTACTTGTGCCGGCCAGAAATCCTCCTAGTGTACCAGCTATATTCGACGCTTGAGAAACATTAGTTGGCATTATTTTGCTAACACTATTTTTCAAAGTGTTCAATGATTGTTTAACTATTGTTTCAATGTTTCTTTTACCTTTATTTAAAATAATTTTTTTTCTTTCCATTTCATTGAGAGGATCAACAAGTTTCTCAGCATAATTATCAACAATATTATTTAAAAGTTTGTTTGTTGAGCTTCCTTTGGGTTGTTGATTGATGTTGGTGTGATCTACTTGCTCATTACTTATTTGTACATCAATAGATGCATTATTGGTTGCAGTGCTCTTTTTGGTGTTTAGTTGATGTAAAAAATTTGACTTGACATCAACTGAAATGGTTGGCTTTAATTTCTCATTAACATTTGTATTCCGTCTTTTAAAATTATGCTTTCTTTGCTTTGACTTTAAATGCCCATTTATTAATATAGTAATTATCAATAAAACGAAAGCCTGAAATTTAAAATGAAATTAATAAAATTAATTTTGCATAAAAAACAATGATAGCAAAAGGTAACTAAAAAGTTACCTTGGGTATTTTCATTTCAAAAATCTTTCATTAAGATAGATCTTTTTTTTTTCTAACTAACTAAATTATGTTTTCTAACTTGCTTGTTATGATGAAATGCATAATAAGCTATCAAATAACAAATGAACATTTTTTTATATCAAAAAAATAAATATGCTGTAATCATGCAGATTCACTGATGTGCATCGTGGTCACTGACCATGGCTGTTTACAAAGTTGTTTTAAGTTTGCTCGTAACCTTACAGATTTGCATCAATAAATTTGTTATGCATTTATAAAATTCAATTTTTATATTTTTTTTTAAATAAACTTTTTTATCTCTTTGAGATTTTCTTTTTTTTAATTCCTTTTTTTAAATCCATTTTCGTTTGTACAGAATAAATATAATTTATTGACTTTTTATATAAACAACTTTTTTCTTTGTAATATCGTTTAAACATTATCAATAGGAGTAGTCTTTTTTTTTTTGCAATTTATTATTAAAAAAAGTGGATTTTCATATTCGTTTTTGTAAGATGTTATTCTTCCAAAAAAAAAAGTTTAATAAAGTTTTAATAAACTTTTGAAACATATGGCTTATAAAAATTCTATAGAATTCTATAGAATTTTTTGAAGAATATCAATAAAATGAAAGCCTAGAATTTAAAAGGACATTCTAAAATTAATTTTGCATGAAGAGCAATGATAGCAAAAGGTGAATAAAAAATTGCCTTGGGTATTTTCATTTCAAAAACCTTTCATTAAGATAGATATCTTTTTTTTTTCTAAATAACTAAATTATGTTTTATAACTTGCTTGTTATGATAAAATGTATAATAAGCTATCAAATAACAAATGAACATTTTTTTATATCAAAAAAATAAATATGCTGTAATCATGCAAATTCACTGATGTGCATCGTGGTCACTGACCATGGCTGCTTACAAAGTTGTTTTAAGTTTGCTCGTAACCTTAAAGATTTGCATCAATAAATTTCTTATGCATTTATAAAATTCAATTTTTATATATTTTTTAAAATAAACTTTTTTATCTCTTTGAGATTTACTTTTTTTTAATTCCTTTTTTTAAAACCTTTTTCGTTTGTACAGAATAAATATAATTTATTGACTTTTATATAAACAACTTTTTTCTTCGTAATATCGTTTAAACATTATTAATAGGAGTAATCATTTTTTTTTTGCAATTCATTATTAAAAAAATAGTTTTTCATATTCGTTTTTGTAATATGTTATTCTCCCAAGAAAAAAAGATTTTCAATAAATTTTTGAAGTATAAGGCTTATAGAAATTCTATAGACATCTATAGAACTTTTTGAAGAATATCAATAAAACGAAGGCCTGAAATTTAAGTTCACATTACTAAAATTAATTTTGCATGAAAATCAATGATAGCAAAAGGTAACTAAAAATTACCTTGGGTATTTTCATTTTAAAAATCTTGGGTATAAAAAAATGGGTATTTTCAATCTAAAAATCTTCATTAAGATAGATATTTTTTTTTATTCTAAATAATTAAATTTGTTTTATAACTTGCTTGTTATGATTAAATGCGTAATCAGCTATCAAATAATAAATGAACACTTTTTAAATCAAAAAGTTAAACATGCTGTAATCATGCAAATTTACTGATGTGTATCGTGGTCACTGGCAATGGCTGTTTACAAAGTTGTTTTAAGTTTGCTCGTAACCTTAAACATTTTCATCAAAAAATTTGTTATGCATTCATAAAATTCAATTTTTATATTTTTTTTAAATAAACCTTTTTTTCTCTTTGAGATTTTCTTTTTTTTAAATCCATTTTCGTTTGGACAGAATAAATATAATATATTGAATTTTATATAAACAACTTTTTTCTTCGTAATATCGTTTAAACATTATTAATAGGAGTAGTCATTTTTTTCTTGCAATTCATTATTAACAAAAGTGGTTTCCCATATTCGTTTTTGTACGATGTTATTCTCACAGGAAAAAAAGTTCAATAGGTTTACAATAAACCTTTGAAACATATGGCTCATAGAACTTCTATAGAATTCTATAGAACTTTTTGCGAGTCTCTTTTAATTTTTGTAGAAATCTCTATATAACATTTTTTCTCCTATTTTTTCTATAGAAAAAAAAGTTTTATTACAATTTCTATAGAAATTAATAGACCTTCTATAAAAATAATTAAAAAATTTCATAGAATTTCTATAAGCTAAATGTTTTAAAAGTTTATAGAAATTCTATATATCTGTTTTTCCTGGGCTTGCAAGAGGATTACCAAAACAAAGTAGTCGTCTTTTTTTAAATAAAATTATACTTCTACAACAAATTTGATTTTTACGCTCTATTGAAAAATCTGTGGAAGAAAATATAATAAAATAAAAGTTCATCAAACGCCATATATATATATATATATATATATATATATATATATATATATATATATATATATATATATATATATATATATATATATATATATATATATATATATATATATATATATATTATATATATATATATATATATATATATATATATATATATATATATATATATATATATATATATTAACATATATACTATATGTTATAAAGTATCAATAAATTAGATTGATACTGCTCTGAAACAGCTAAGGCATAATGAGTTTATACTTACACTAAAGAGTTTACATAAACAGAAAAGAAACTACAGACTTAAGCACACGGCAAGAAAAACTAGATTAATTTCTTTTTTATTTTTTTTTGATCATTATTTTTGATATTTTCTACTTCTTTTATGCTTACTTGCATTTTCTCTATTTCTTTTTTTTTTCTTTTCGATCTTTTTTTTTTTTTTTTTTCATTTGTCGCATCATATCTTTTGCGTTTACTTGCATAAGTCTTCATCTATCATTTTTTTATATAAAAATATTTGTTATCATTTTTAGTTTTTCTTATTTTATTGCATATTTTTTAATGATTTAGCGAAGCAAGAGTAACAAAGTGGCTTAAAAAATCTTTACATTTATAAAAAAATGTCATATGTGAATAAAAAAAGAATATTTTTGAATTATGAAAAGTATGAAAATTCTACAATAACTTTTAATATTAGTTTAGATTTAGAACATAGTGCAATAAATGATAAACATATTAAAGTATTTGCACAAGTAGATTTTGCAATAAAATCAAATTCATATAATAACATTTCTTTAATGTGTGGAGTTAATATAGAGGAAGGACATGTATTGCTTTCAATTGCAGAAAAATAGAAGCTATCGCTAAGTTTACTAAATTCCGTAGTAATAGATTCTACTGATAATATTTTAATAACTTTATATTATACTATTTCTAACGATTATACTATTTATAAAGTTAAACTATTTACATTATAACGATAAGAAAAATATAAAGATTAAAAAAGGAGATTTCTTATGTTGTATCTCATCTTATAATGGTGTTTTTCATGTAAATTATATATCACTAAGGGTTACTTCAGGATCTGATAAAAAAAGAGAACAAGTTAGATCACAAAGTGATAAAGAATCTGTTAAATCTATATTTAATTTTGGTGAATAAGACTTAATCGTAATAAATAGTTTTAAGTCACAAAGTGACTTAAAACTAAATTTATCATTATAAAAAGAATGCAATGTAAAAATGATGAATGTAAACAACTTCATTCAGATCTTAGTCAGTTTTCAGAAAATCCAACTGCACAACCACTATATGATCAGCGATATCGATAAGATAAGATAAGTGAAATTCAAAGTAAAATAGAATGTGAAAGAAAAAGAAGAGCTAATTTGAGTAAAATGTATCATAGAGCTGTGAGAATCATTTCAGCAATTGATAATTCATTGCTAGCTACTACAATGACATTAGGAGCTGTTGGTATAGGTCTTTTAGCAACTACAGTAGCAGCAAAAGTTGCTATTGCACTTGAAGGAGCTGCATTAAGTGCAGGGGTATTATCATTAATAGTATCTCAAGTTATTAAAAATTAAGCATAAAAGTAGAGAAGCATGAAAAGATTAAAGTATTAGCTGATGCAAAATTAAATACTATAAGCGACCATATTTCTAAAGCTTTAAAATATGGTAATATCGATGATGTAGAATTTACAATGATACTTTCAGAATATGAAAAGTTTCAAAAAATGATTGAAGAAATTAGAACAAAATCTAAAAATGATATGGATGAACAAACTAAACAATCAATAATCAACCAAGGTAAAGAAAAAGCTATAAAAGAAGCTATGAAATTATTAGAAAGTAGGTTTACAAAGAATTAAAATATAAGTATGATAAGTAATACTTTAAAATAATTTGTACTACTTGAACATATATTATGTATTACTTGAACATAATATATGTTGAAAGGATTTAAAACATTATTGCTTTTATAAAATGTCGTATTTAAAAGCTACAGATATTGAAAAAAAAGAAAAAATCGTAAAAGATCTTGAAAGATTTAAGTAAAGTGTATATCAAGATTCTATTTATGAAAAGTTAGGTGAATAAACTTTAAATACTAACTTGGAAAAATTGTACAAACCACTAATAGATAGTCAATCTGGAATAAAAGAAGACTTATCCAAATTAGAAAATAAAGCTGATCAATTAGCTATTACTTTTTCAAATCCCAAATATATTACTGAAACTAAAGCAATTATGCCACCTGAAGTTGTAAAAAACATGACATTAGTTATGTTATTTACGGTTAGATATAATGATCGTAATAAGTATAAAAAAATTCTAGATCAGACAGATGCAATTTGTTCTGATTTAAACTCAGCTAAACCAAGATCATCTAGAAGTTATAAATACACCAATGTGATAAACCTATTTGGAAGGGATAACTGGAAAATCTAGAAAAGGGGTCATCATTATTCCTAGTGATCCAAATGCGCTATTTGATATGCTTAAATTACGCTTAGCTGCATTAAAAGCAGGTAATACTAGAGCTAGAAATGAAGATGTTGCTATTTATGATAAGTTGTTAAGACAGGATCAGATAGATAATGATGATTATAAAGCTTTACAGAAAACAATCAAAGAAAATAATTTAGACTTGACAGATTCATGCAAATGAATTAAAAAATTATTGTATATATAAAAATGACGAAATACTATTATACTCTTATAAATCTTTCAGAAAGTCA